AACCAGAGTAACCCTGAAAGTACATTTAATCTCAGTTAAAGTCATTTTATTTTTACGCTGCCTTCTACTTCTTCTCCACCACGAGGGAACGTCCTTCTATACATTTATCAGAGTTACTGGTCACTGTGACGTCTGTTGAGTATTTTTACACTGATACTTGCATTAGACATAAGGTTTCTACACCAAAGTCATTAATGTTATCACCACGGGAACGTAAAGTGTGTCACTGAAGCTTCATGTTTTCTGTGGTACTTTTACTTCAGTAAAAACCAAAGTACTTCCTGGCGCCCGTACCTGAAGACGTTGATGGTCTTGGCGGACGGCGGCTCCTGATTTTCCTCCACCTCCTCCTCGTCCTCAAAGTACTCCTGGTAGATGTCCACAGCATTGTTCTGTCTGATGCAGTGCTCCATGACCTGGACACATGATGACATCACACAAAGGCTGGTGACATCACAACCGCCGGCGTGGCTATAACGACAGACGCAAGACATCGATGTGGACTGAGGTGAGGCGGGTCGGTGTGGACTGATGTGGGGCGTGTCGATGTGGACTGAGGTGAGTCGTGTCGATGTGGACTGATGTGAGGCGGGTCGATGTGGACTGAGGTGAGGCGGGTCGATGTGGACTGAGGTGAGGCGGGTCGATGTGGGGCGGGTCGATGTGGACTGAGGTGAGGCGGGTCGATGTGGACTGAGGTGAGGCGGGTCGATGTGGACTGAGGTGAGGCGTGTCGATGTGGACTGAGGTGAGGCGGGTCGATGTGGACTGAGGTGAGGCGGGTCGATGTGGGGCGGGTCGATGTGGACTGAGGTGAGGCGGGTCGATGTGGACTGAGGTGAGGCGGGTCGATGTGGGGCGGGTCGATGTGGACTGATGTGAGGCGTGTCGATGTGGACTGAGGTGAGGCGGGTCGATGTGGACTGAGGTGAGGCGGGTCGATGTGGGGCGGGTCGATGTGGACTGAGGTGAGGCGGGTCGATGTGGACTGATGTGGGGCGGGTCGATGTGGACTGAGGTGAGGCGGGTCGATGTGGACTGATGTGAGGCGGGTCGATGTGGACTGAGGTGAGGCGGGTCGATGTGGACTGAGGTGAGGCGGGTCGATGTGGACTGAGGTGAGGCGGGTCGATGTGGACTGAGGTGAGGCGGGTCGATGTGGACTGAGGTGAGGCGTGTCGATGTGGACTGAGGTGAGGCGGGTCGATGTGGGGCGGGTCGATGTGGACTGAGGTGAGGCGTGTCGATGTGGACTGAGGTGAGGCGGGTCTATGTGGACTGAGGTGAGGCGGGTCTATGTGGACTGAGGTGAGGCGGGTCTATGTGGACTGAGGTGAGGCGGGTCTATGTGGACTGAGGTGAGGCGTGTCGATGTGGACTGAGGTGAGGCGTGTCGATGTGGACTGAGGTGAGGCGGGTCTATGTGGACTGAGGTGAGGCGGGTCTATGTGGACTGAGGTGAGGCGGGTCGATGTGGACTGAGGTGAGGCGGGTCTATGTGGACTGAGGTGAGGCGGGTCTATGTGGACTGAGGTGAGGCGTGTCGATGTGGACTGAGGTGAGGCGTGTCGATGTGGACTGAGGTGAGGCGTGTCGATGTGGACTGAGGTGAGGCGGGTCTATGTGGACTGAGGTGAGGCGGGTCGATGTGGACTGAGGTGAGGCGGGTCGATGTGGACTGAGGTGAGGCGTGTCGATGTGGACTGAGGTGAGGCGTGTCGATGTGGACTGAGGTGAGGCGGGTCGATGTGGACTGAGGTGAGGCGTGTCGATGTGGACTGAGGTGAGGCGGGTCTATGTGGACTGAGGTGAGGCGGGTCGATGTGGACTGAGGTGAGGCGTGTCGATGTGGACTGAGGTGAGGCGTGTCGATGTGGACTGAGGTGAGGCGGGTCTATGTGGACTGAGGTGAGGCGGGTCGATGTGGACTGAGGTGAGGCGGGTCGATGTGGACTGAGGTGAGGCGTGTCGATGTGGACTGAGGTGAGGCGTGTCGATGTGGACTGAGGTGAGGCGTGTCGATGTGGACTGAGGTGAGGCGGGTCGATGTGGACTGAGGTGAGGCGGGTCGATGTGGACTGAGGTGAGGCGTGTCGATGTGGACTGAGGTGAGGCGGGTCGATGTGGACTGAGGTGAGGCGGGTCGATGTGGACTGAGGTGAGGCGGGTCGATGTGGACTGAGGTGAGGCGGGTCGATGTGGACTGGATCTTACGCTGCCCAGCTGCAGGATGCTGTTGATGTAGCCCTCGTCCTTCTCCACCTTCTTCCTGAAGCGGATGGTCTGTTCCATCTCCTCGGGGTTCACGTCTTTGGGCCACCCCCCCTCCACGTGGTTGATCCCACAGCTCTCAGACTCAAAGCGCTCCGTGTTCACCTGCAGACACAAACGCAGGTACCACACCTGGTCGGTCAGACCGTTTCTCACAGTGCTGAAAGCAAAGTCTAGTAATTCAAAGGAAAAAGATCCACCAGAACCCAGAAATGAAAAGTTTAACGGATAAAAAACAAAATACAGACGATATTTATGAAACCAGACCCTGTTTTTAGACCCATTTCTGAGATAATCCACTAAGACTAAGGAGTCCGTTTGGGAATAACGTGGTGGTTTTATGGTTCTGGACTAGACAGGGACCCCCGAAGCTCTCTAACACCGGAAGAGCCCGTCAACAACAACAGGAAGTGGGTTTATTTATCGAAGAAGTTGTTATATGAGCTGGTTAACGGAAAGTCCCGTACCCGAGCTCACCTGGTGCTCGGACATGTCCCGGCAGGCCTGCACCGCCTGGTCCCGGAGGGTTTTCTGGAGGAACTGAAGAGCCAGGCTCGGGTCCGGAGGGACGTCCACCAGCAGCTCGACGGGCCGGTCAGAGAGGAGACACTGCCGGCCGAACTCACCGCGGAGCTTCGTGTAAACATGGACGATCTCCATCCTGCTGAAAACCACCGGGAAACACCGACTGAAAGCTCGAACTTTAACCGGCGGAGCTCCGACCCGCGGGAATGGCGGCAGTTTGCTGTATCGTAGCAACGCCGTGACGCGGCGGAGTGTAGCGTATCCCAGCAACAGCGACCGTTATTTTCTTTTAAATAAACTTCATTAGACAAAATGCGGCGTTAGCAAACAAACTGATAGCATAATATTTTCCAACAGATTCAACTTTAGCTGCTGCACACAGAATATCTCATGTTATCCATTTCATGCATTAATTATTAAATCACAAAGTAATAATCTGTGTTTGTTTTCAATTATTTAAATTTGAAATGTGTGCGCTGCAGTGACACCAGGCATCAAAACTCAATACAGGTTCAATAAACTGTATGTTTTCAAAACATTTACTAAACGCAAATACACAAAACGTTATTCAGGTGCAAATGATTTTAACATAATAAGGCAGAATAAACCCTTTGGTGAAAAACGTCCACTGGAGTGGACGGATGTATTTTCAGCCACAGAACAAAATGTGCAAGAAACATTTAAAATAAAATCTGGATCAGTATTTCTAACCTCTTATTTAGTTGAAAGATAGTGTTCTTAAAAGTCTGGTTTTATGAGAATAAAAGGATGTCACAGTTATTGCTGAGGCACTTCCTCCTCTTCCCTCTGTGAATATACGATGCAGTAAATCACAGTGACAGAGATGTAAAACAAAATCAGTGATCATGAGTGGGACATGGTACTTTAACTTAAATCGCTTCCAAAAACCCGATCACTGTAGTGTTTTTGCAACACTAAAGTTTAAAGTTTTGCATGACTTTCCATTTGCATGAAAGTGTAAATGGTGTATTGTGTATTTTCTGTACAGTTAAGGCCAGAGCTCAAGCATTTCATTATATTTTTATACACATGATAAAAAAGTTTTATATGATTAAAAACTTGGAGGAGGAGCTAATTTTTATGACTTTATATACTGCAGGGTATCTGGAATAATACATGACCATACATTTGTTAAAGAGGTGTTATTCTGCTCATTTTCAGGTTCCTCATCTTATTTAGAGTTTGTACCAGAGCAGGTTTACATGGTTATATTTTTGTCATACTGCACATTGCTGCAGCTCCTCTTTTTAGCCTGTGTTGAAGGCTTCGTTTTAGCTATGGAGTGATACATCTTGTCTCTAAATGATCTTTGTCGGGAGTTGCACATGCTCAGTTCCTAGTTAAGGACTACTAGCCAATCAGAAGCAGAGTAGGGCGGGTCAGGGAGAAGCCGGTAAACGGCTCGGGTTCAGCCGTACGTGTTGCCGACCGGCTCGGCAACATGGACTGGAGCGAGAGTTTCAGAGCGGTGAGTTATTAATCTGTATCCATAAAGTTTTAACTGAGCTCTGTCTCTACATCACAGGAACAACTTTCTGTCCACTGACTGCCTGGAGGGTAGCTAGTGTTTGGAAGGGAGAGGAGAGCTGTGTGCTGCAGCTCGCTGTTTCTGAGGGCGTGTCGGAGTCGCCGCTCGGCGAGCGTTATATGAGGCTGTTTAGCTAAAGGGAAGCGTCTGGACTACAAACGAGCTGTTTTCAGTTCAGAGCAGAGTTTTCTGTCAGAGATGGGAACTCACTTTGGGCTTTTTCACTTTGCAAACCTGTTACAGCACTAAAAAGGAATATAACTCAATAAAGGAGAGGGAAAAGTCAAAAAGCAGAATACCAACTCTAACACTTACTACTAATCTGCAAAGAGTAGTATCTGTTAAATGAATGTGAAGCAAACAGTTAAATATTTTCCTCTGGAATGAAGTGGAGTAATTAAAAGTATTAATAAGTAGAAAATGATAAAGTACAAAGCACAAGTACCTCAAAATAAAGTACAGTGCTTCAAGTTATAAAAGTAGTTTATTTATCATTATACATCCGACATTTATCAAGGTTGTATCAAGCTCTTTGTAACACGGTTTTTAAAAGTCCGCTATGAAAAAAGATATTATTGTTACAGTTCGGCTGCTGTTCTCCCTCCGGTCCAGCAGAGTTCGCTGTTCGCTTCCCCCGCTTCGCTTCCCTCAGCGAAGCGTCGTCGACGCGGAACTCCGCTCCGTGTTTACGTCCCCGCTCTTTGTCCGCAGAAAGCAGTAAAATGTGCGCCGTGCAGCTGCTGCGGGTGTCGGTCCACGAGCGGATCAGCGCCGCCGCTGAAGACGTTCTGCTGCGGGTGGAAACGGGAGAAGAACCGGCGGAAGTCCCGGCGCTGAGAGCGCTGCTCACCGAGCGGCTCGCGGCGGCCGCGGAGGAGATCGTCGGTGTGTTCGAGGAAACCGTGGCGGAGTACGAAGCCAGAGCTGAGCGGGCAGAGCGGGAGGTCTGCCGCCAGAGGAGGCTGCTGGAGGCCGTGCTGAAGCCCGAAGTCCGGCTGCACAGAGCAGGTCAGTCCCGGAGGAAACCCCGGAGGCTGCACGCACACACACTCTCACACTTCCGCTCTACTTCACAATAAAAGCCCCGCCGGCCACAGTCAGAGGATGGAAGGATTCAGTTCTTTAAACCAAGTGTGCCGATCAGCAGGAAATTAACTTACTACACCAATAATCCATTACCTCACTTTTTAGGGTAAAAGTGCTCAGACAGATTTCCATCCAAAGTTGATCCAGTATGTCAGAGCCGGTCCTGACCTTCCTCTGGGCCCTGAGCAGAACTCTGCCGTGGGGCCCTCCTACCTGACTGAGCCATGTACACCACAGTGCTCGCACTACAACCCTCCCTCCTTTAAACAGTCTGTCTCTGTAAGAAGCCTCTATTAGAAAACCCCCGTGCCGGTTTGAACAGGCACCAACTCAGTCCTCATGAAGTCTGATAGGACTGGGGGCCAATCTGCGGGGTCATTTGGTGGAGCAGCACCTGCTCCATTAGAGTCTGAGGCTGGATGTGTTTCACCCGGGTCTGGGCTGTACAGCCCCTCCAAATTATAGAAAACAACTCTTTCCAGATGTTCTCCGTTAAACACACTTTAACATATAAAATACGATTTATAAAATGACTTGACTCAATACGTGATGCTTTTTATTATTTACTGACAGATGTGCATCCACATCGCCCAGTCCGTCCTGCGAATCAACATTTTAATAGTCAACGTGAATCCGCTGCTCGCCATCCTGCATTAAGTCCAGAATAATTTAGGCCCCGCCCCCTGCCCGTGCACATTTTCAGCTGAGGACTGCGGCTTACTTTGGTAACATTACAGAGTCGTAATGTCGGGATTTTTGTCGGCTGCTGACATCGGCCTGTTTTCGCCCTCTCACCAAATATTTTCTGAATGTCTTTGGGTTTTGGGCTGTTGGACGCACACCTTCAGGTAACTTTCCCTTTGTAAATCACAGTCCACCTGGATATGTGTCCACGTGGATCAGCCTCCTATCCCGCCCTCCACTCACCCCGTTCAGCCTGTCCAGTTCTGACTGGCTGCAGGGAGTCCCAGCTGTTTAACCTCTGTGGGGTCCTTACCCAGCTGATGGAGGCCTCTGGCTGCGTTGGGGCTCCTGGCTGCTGGAACTTTGTTGTGGTCGTTGGAGTCACGTGTTCAGCCTCCTGGGAAGAGATGAAAGTTTCTGTTCCTTGGTGTTGTCCTTGATGATCATATCAAACACACACCTGCCGGCTAATTCCCGCTGCTAACAGAGTGGTTTTAGCCTACTGGGGTTTGTTTCCGGGACGGTGCGGATCCGTAAGGTCTAAAGCTGGACCCAGTTCAGCTTACAGATCCAGGAGCACGGCTCTAGAGAGTGACACAGTATTTATGTTCACAGCAATCAGACTTCACCCTTTGCCAAAACGATGGCGATCGTCACACATCACTGGCTTCAGGTCACCATCTGCGTCGGCAGTTTCCCGTCTCCTGAATGTTCGTGCGCGTTGGTCAAAGTTCCCCTTTTTAGAAATCTCAATGTGTGATTACAAAGTTATAAATGAGGCCCCTGATGATCAATGAATTTTGTCTCCTCAGAGTTTCTGCAGTCGATGAAGCTGAACCACCCAGAGCTCCAGCCTCCAGATGACCCTGCAGACCTGAACCAGACAGAAGCTGAGCGAGTCGACAGCGATGCTTCCTGCCCGTCGACGCCTCGCTCCGCCTCACCCACCTACCACCCGCCTGACTCACTGAGTAACTCGGCCGTCCACAGCGATAGTGCTTCAGACAGCGACTGGACCACAAAGAGTCAGGCTCTGAGGCCCCCGAGGAAAAAGAAGAGAGGGCGGCCGCCCCTCGCCATCAGAACCACTAAGCGAAAGAGGTCGACTCCGGAGAGTCTCAACTGCTACGTGTGTGGACGCTCTCTGCAGGGCAAAGGCTACCTGCTCAAACACGTCCTGAAGTTCTGCGCCGAGGACCCGGACTGCCGCTGCGGCTTCTGCGGCGAGCGACAAGGCTCTGCTGCCGACCTGGCGGCTCACCTGCAAACGCACCAGGAGAAGAGTAAAACCTGCTCCTTCTGCGGGAAAAGCTTCCGGTCGATCCTGGCGCAGGAGCTGCACGTGCGGCTGCACACCGGAGAGAAACCGTACAGCTGCGACGTGTGCGGCAAGAAGTTCAGCCAGAAGGGCAACCTGACGTCACACATGAGCGTCCACGCCGCGGAGAAACCCTTCAAATGTAAAGAGTGCAGCCGGGCCTTCTGTCACATGACGTCTTTAGAGCGACACATGCAGAAGCACAGCGGCGAGGAGGTGCACTGCTGCAGCGTCTGCGGTCAGGAGTTCAGGAAGCAGCACAGCCTGCGACGGCACATGGTGACGCATCAGAAGGCCGACAAACCGAAGAGATACCGTAGCTCTGCGCCATCCTTCCGCTGTAAAGTGTGCGGGGACGCCTTCGACAAGAGGACCTTGTTGGTGAAACATGTCCAGACTCACCTGCAGGACCCGGACTGCCGCTGCGGGCTCTGCGGACACCAGTACGAGTCCGCCGCCAGCCTCGATGCTCACCTGCGATCCCACCGTGAGATCGGCCACACCTGCCACATCTGCGGGAAGTCGTTCCCGGCTCACGCGGCGCTGGAGATGCACATGAGGATCCACACCGGTGAGAAACCTTACACTTGCAACTTCTGCGGGAAGTCATTCAACCAGAGCGGCAACCTGAAGACGCACCTGAAGATCCACACCGGTGAGAGGGCGTTCTCCTGCAGCCTCTGCGGGAAGGGCTTCACCCAGAAACAGACTCTGGACACTCACGTCCGCTTCCACAACAAGGAGAGACGCTTCCTGTGCCAGGTGTGCGGGAAGGGCTTCATGCAGGACGTGGACCTGAAGAGACACATCCTGATCCACACCGGAGACAAACCGTACAGCTGCAGGGTGTGCGGGAAGAGCTTCCAGGCCAGACGATCGCTCAACGGACACCTCAAAGTCCACAACGCAGGGGGGTCAGGACCGGAGCTGGATCAGACCTTAGAGCAGCAGAACACGGACAGTTTCCACTCAGGCTTCATCCAGCTGTAGAGGCGGGGTCCAGTTTAAAGGACCAGACCGGGTTTTTGCATGTGTTGTAGACTGATGACTCAAAGCAACAAGATTCAGCTTCTGTTTTCCTTCACTGTCAGTAACGGCGCCGACGGCGGGACAGAATTAACATCTTCCTGTTTTCCATCTCGTGTCTTTGTTTGTACTCTGTAACAAAACCTGAGATAAGAAGTACGGATTTCTTAAAATAGTCCAACAGTAACGAGAGTCAATGTGACCCCGTTACTTCCACCCCTGATTCTCAGAGACTAGTTTAAAACTAGTGATTCACTAAATCAGGTCGCACCATTAAGACTTGTGTAAATGTGTTGCTAGGAAACAGCTGTCCTCGTGTCTTTGGACGCCCTGAATCAATCCCAGATTTGTCAGATCAGGTCTCAGAGCAGCTGAACAGGTCATAACGGAATAAAACCAGTTTCTGTTTCTCAAAGTAAAACAGTGTTTTGGCGTCCGCACTGAAACTAGACGGCGGCGCTGATTCAGTTCTTTAAAACTTAAACCACAGTTTGAACGTGTTTTTTTCTTCATTGAACAAAAGAAGCCAAAGATGTTAAATGTTTTTAACACAAGCAGCAGAACAGGAACTGAACAGAACTGAGGAACTCTGATCGAGGGATAAATCCACACCCTGAACCAGCTGATCCAGAACCAGCTGACAGAGCGTCCTCAGTCGGCTGGATAATAAAATGTTCTGGTCAAAGTAAACCCTGAGTTTCTTTTCAGTCTTTTTATACTCGTCACTCTGCAGTTTAAAACTAGTGTTTTGGCGGTATGTTAAGTTTCTTCTTCGTTGGTGTAGGTTGTAACAAACAATGGTGACGGAAAGTGAGCAGATGTCCTGGTTCCCCTACAGACTGCTGCTACGGAACCACAGGTCAGAGGTCAAACACACAGAAGAACTTACTGTTATAATAATAATAATCCATTACATTTATATAGCGCTTTAACACTGAAACTCAAAGAGCTTCACCGTGAAGTGGGGGGGACTCACCTCAACCACCACCAATGTGTAGCGCCAACCTGGGTGAGCCCAAACCTGCTGACCGCCAATCACAGCAGCTGCTGCTGTGCGTCAGCTGGACAATAATCAGATGTACTGATCGGTGCAACGTCAGCAGAACCTGATGGCAGCTTGCTGAAGACTTGTACCTACCTTACCAAGTGGCAGCGGCTCCTCTAATGTTAGACATGAAGATGCTTCTGGAGGAGATGTAGAACATAAAAAGTATGAACAAACCCGCGGTCTGGCCCAGGAGAAGGAATCGTCACGGTGGAACTGCGGCGATAGAAGTGATCATTCAGGCGAATGATCACTTCTATAGTCACAGTTTGATATGATGAAGGCCGAGAGGTCCGACAAACAGCAGACTTGGTGTCAAATGACGGCCAGTTATGGGGTCCAGAGACCGACTCGAAATACCATCAGTGAAATATAGAAAATGAAGGACAAGGTCACGGAGGGGCCAATAAACCTAAAAGGTCCTGAGACCAAATATAAACCAGGGCCGCAAGACCAAAGCACAATAAAATGGTTGAAGTAACAAAGGGTCAGATAAGAAATCCCATCATCAGTCAGTGACCGGTGTGCTTTGTGAAAAGACTGAGTGAGTGAGCACTGCTGCATGTTAAAGCAAATAAGTTCTTTGTGTTGTTCTGATGGACTTTACAGACTCTGTGTTCATGCCTGCCTTCATTTCTTCAGAAGCAGAAGTTGGTATGCAAAACACAAAGCATCAGATTATATAAAGAACTCATGCAGCTTTCAAAGGGGCATTTTCTTACATGTTTATTCTGTGGAAACATTTTCTTTTAAGAAGTTAAACCATTTCACTTCACAATGCTGACATGTAAGAGATCTGGATATTTTACTGTGGAACAGAGATAAAATATCTTGAATAAAGAACATGAGGTAAAGAAGGAGGTGCTGCGTCGAAGTTAACTACTTCAACAGTTAACTTTGATATAGGTAACAACTACGGGGGAGCTCAGCTCCTCCTAATCAGACATCAGCTCCCCTCAAAGCAGATTTGTGATATTTGGGGGCTCCCTAAAATATTGACAGCTGCTTTATTTACATTAATCTCTATATGTCTCTGTCATCATGGATCAGTCAGGGAACGATCACCAACCGTCCTCAGCGGGCCGGTGATCGGTTGGCGATGGTTCCCTCTGGCAGGATGAATGATCCACGCTCTACTGCAGCTGGGGGGGCCCCCAGGTCAGGCCTCAAACACAGTCAGCCCCAAGCCGACGTGCCTGCAGCTGCTAATGACTGAGCAGGAAGAATCCCAGTCTGCCCCCCGTAACACAGAAACGGATTTTCTGTCTGATGGAGGGCGGTTACTTGACTTTATAAAGATGGGGATGAAACTGCAAATGGTTTTCATCAAGTTCTGATGAGCTGCCTGAAAAAGCATGAACTGGAAATAAAACACATTAAATGTGTTCTTTTCAGTTTGTCAGATGCACATGAGGGGAAGAACCTTCTAACCTACAGACCGCGGGACTGTTTTCTATCAGACACATAAAGGTAACAGGTAGTGGTTTAATTAAAGGGACCTGCTGTAAATAACTATTGTTAAAGTTACCAAATATTTCATTAAGAGATTAGCCGTCATTGTGACAAACAACACACTGAATATTCACACTAAACCACAGCGCACCGCTGCAGCAGGCCGCCCTTTGTTGGCAGCACTATTCGACGCCCCGCGGCAGGTTGGCGTGAGCGGGTCACATTTCTTAGTCAAATAAATGTGACGGTTCTTTGTCCCGCTCACCTTCTCTTTGTTGTTTGTCTGTTCTATTTCTGCGATGCATCATTTGCATATTCATGCCACTTTCTTCTTAGAAGAGCCGCTGTGGATCATCATCATCAGCCAGCTTCTTGTTCTCACCTGCCGTGTTTAAGGCGGCTGTTCGCTGCAGAGGACAAAACATCAGGCGCCAGTGGAGGAACTCACTCAGGTGGACTCGCCAGGTAGATGTTTCATTTTAGTTTTTCCTTCTATGCAGAGCGTATTAACCTGATAAATGAAGATGCAAACTGGGAGAAGCAGACAGCTTTAGATTAAACCAGCCATGTTTTATTTCCTTTGGGGTTTTTACTGCAATTAAAAGCATGCAACAAAGAAGAAAGAGCACAAGTCAGTAAGAAAGTAAAACTAGAACATGCTTCTTCTTCTTCTGCTAATATAACAGTTAACCCACTGAGAGATATTTACAGAGATGTTTTCAGGAAAGCTGAGATGAGTTCATTGTTTTGTGATCATTGATGAGTCTCAGGAGGAGAGAGTTTCTAACCAGAGACAGGCGAGATGAACCAATGAGCATTAACATTTAATTACTGAAACTTCTGGACGACGTTCTGCACTAACGACCTCATCAGCGCGTAGAACTTCTTTTAATTTGATTAAATGTTAACAGATGTTGAGGAACGACGGTAGAACCTGAAAAGGTTCTGATATGATTGTGGTAAAATATTTACTATATGTATATATTACAAAACCTGATCTCTCAAACAGGTTTCACTGTGAGGAATGGAAGGTTTCTACATTAACAGCAGCTCACACGACCAAAGCTACAACTACAGCAACACCTCCAACTACCAGAATTACAGCAGCAGCATCTCCAACTACCAGGATTACACCGAGTACTATGAGTATTACAGAAGCCTTCAGTTCAGCGCAGATGTGGTGACATACATTGTCATTGCTGTCGGCCTTCCTTTGACCCTCGTGGCCATCTATGGTCTTTATTCTATGGTATGTACATTATTACTAGGAGTTATTTATTTACAGTATGTCACATGTCTGTCTCTCTGTCAACGATCTTGATCTGGCTTGGGGGCTCGGTGTCGGCAACAAGTTCTCACTCCCGACTCGTCACATATGGACACTTGATCAGGACCCCTTGGCGTCGCCTTTTAACGCCCTGGGTTCCCTTTAGTGTAGTTTTTGGACGTCTAGGGCTCTGCAGGCAAGTAACAATAAATATGCAACGTCCGGTTAGACTTTTCAAAATAAAACTAGTGGTTAACGTTGAAATGTCGCAATTAATAACATTTAGGCACCAAAACTACTTGGTTAGGGGTAGGGTCAGGTTACTTATGTGAGAAATGCGTCTCCTGGTTTAAAGTCTGGTTTCTGGCCCACACGTCCATCCCAACCACCTCCTTACTTGGACTTTTCTGTTATATATCCTACACC